CATCCTGTAGCCTCACACTCATCTCTGCAACTGGTACCTGGAAGCGATTTAAGAGTGAGAGAGACACCACAATGAAGAACTAGAGAACAATCACTGACATGGGGCTCTGGACAAAGCATCTGCAACAATGTTATCTCTGCCCTTCACATGATGTATATCCAAGTTGTATGACTGGAGAAATAAAGAACACCTAACAAGTCTTTGATTTGGGCAGTGTAGTGAGTTCAAAAATGTCAATGGATTGTGATCTGTATAAATAATTACCGGACCTGAACCCACATACACCTCAAAGTGTTGCAAGGACCAAATCAGAGCCAATGCTTCCTTTTCAATTACAGAATAATTCAACTGATGTTTGTTAAATTTTTTCGAATAGAAACCCACCGGTCGGTCAATACCAAACTCATCTTGTTGTAACAGCACCCCACCCGCCCCTACATGACTGGCATCCACCTGAAGTTTAAACGGTTTGTCCATGGAAGGAGCTGCCAAAACAGGAGCATTGCACAGAATTTCCTTCACCTTTTCAAAAGCTGCTTGGCAGCTAGGAGACCAGATATATTTTACCTTACCCTTCAGAAGATCTGTCAGTGGTGCTACCACAGTCGAAAAATTTCTACAGAAACCCCTGTAGTAACCCACCAAACCCAGAAATCTCATAAGATCTTTTTTTGTAGCTGGAGGTGGATAATACTTAACGGCCTGTACTTTCGCATGCAGGAGACGCACTGCACCCTGCCGTCCCAGGTATGTCACTGTCGCTCGAGCAAACTCACACTTTGCCAAATTTATTGTGAGGTGTGCCTCAGCCAAACGTTTAAACAGTGCTTCCATGCGCTGCAAATGGGATGACCAAGTGTCAGAGTAAATAACCACATCATCCAAGTACACCGCACAGCCCTGCAAATCCCCAACAACTTTATTCATCAAACGTTGAAAAGTTGCCGGTGCATTACGCAACCCAAAAGGCATGACTGAATACGAAAACAGACCAGTAGGCGTGATGAAGGCTGCGATTTCTCGTGCTCTCTCAGACAAAGGGACCTGCCAATAACCTTTTAACAGGTCAAATTTACTGATGAACCTTGCAGCGCCAACCTGGTCGATACAGTCATCAATGCGTGGCAGAGGATAAGAGTCTGGTTTAGTGACACTGTTAACTTTCCTAAAATCAGAACAAAACCGAGGGGTATTGTCCGATTTTGGGACCAATAAACAAGGCGACGCCCAACTTGATGATGATGGTCGAGCAATACCATTTCCCAGCATATACTCAACTTCAGCATCCAAAAACTTCCGCTTTTCCGGACTTACTCGATAAAAACGCTGCTTGATTGGCTTTACATCTCCCACTATTTCAATGTCATGCTCCAAAACATGTGTACGGGATGGCACATCTCCAAACAGACTGGAATACTCCTGTATAACCTCCATTAATTCTGTGCGTTGAAGCTCAGACAAGTGAGACAATACACTGTCTAAATCCGAAAGTACCTCAGAGTTTTTAAGCCGACCAGTTAACAATGCGAAGTCATGATTTGGTAAATCATCCCCACAAGCAGCTTCGCTATTAGACCAAACTGTGTTACCAACACACACCGGATGAGCATCATCTGCCTGTGCACTCAATTCCTGGGATACCCGGGTATGATATGCCTTCAACAGGTTGACATGACAAAGTTGGTGGTTTTTACGACGTTCTGGAGTGGCAATCAGGTAGTTTAGCTCTGACAACTTCTTCACTACCGTGTAAGGTCCCAAAAACTTTGCTTGCAATGGTGAGTTGACAATTGGTAATAAAGCCAAAACCTGATCGCCCTCACAAAAACTACGCCGCTCCGCTCTTCGGTCATAAAGACGTTTCATCTTCTCCTGTGCCGAAGTCAGCTTTTCCCTGGCTAACTCTGTAGCAGAGTAAAGGCGCTGCCTGAAACCATTGACATACTCTAGCAAATTTTGAGGTGGCTGAGATTCCTTCCACTCGTTTTGCAGAGCAGCTAACGGCCCCCGCACCGTATGACCGAACACCAACTCGTTTGGACTGAAACCCGTACTCTCTTGTGCTACCTCTCTTGCTGCCAGCAACAACCATGGTAACCCGTCCTCCCAATCAGCATTCATCTGCACACAGTATGCCCTCATCATTGATTTCAAAGTTTGATGGAAACGTTCCAGCGCTCCTTGGCTTTGCGCATGGTACGCAGACGACTGGTTGTGCTGCACATGCAACAGCTTCAATACCTGTGCAAACAAGTGAGAGGAGAAATTCGACCCTTGATCACTCTGAATGGTTCTAGGTATGCCAAAGATGGATATGAACTGACCCAGAGCACCATCGACTAAAGTGGATCCCCAAATCACGGGAAAATTCAAGATATGATTTATCTCCCTTTTTCCAACTCCTAAAACGCTGACGGTATGCTTCAGGAACTAACTCATATGTTTTCAGTACAGCAGTTTTAACCTTTGCATAATCACCGCTGTCTTCCAGAGACAACGAGGAAAAAACCTCCTGAGCACGACCAGTTAACACACATTGTAGCAAAACGATACGGTCTGAATCAACCCAGCCCCTCGTGTCTGCAATCCGCTCAAACAACGTGAAGAATACATCAACGTCTTTCTCACTAAATTTAGGCACCAAGCTCAAACTATTCAATATATCACTTGAAATACCGCTGGTTCGAGCCAACTCTTCATTCCTGGAGAAGTCATAGAATTTACCTTCTTTAACTAACCTAAGTCTCTCACTTTCCAAATCTAGCTTTGCCATTTCGGTTTGTTGCCTCATTTTTTCTAGTGCCAACACTTTATCTCTTAAAAATCACTTTAACTCTTTCTCCTTCTCCAACTTCATCCGCAATATCAACATTTCTTTTTGCTGTTCAAAGTTTAAAGCTACACTATGAGCCATATCCTGCGAACACCCATCCAAAGCCAAATTAGTAGGACTATGTGATTTTTGTACAGGTGTTAAAACACCCATATCATACAAATGTGCCCTTATAGTAGATCTAACATTTTCCTTTAACCTTCTGTCGCCTACACTGATTTTATAATGATCAGCTATCTTTAACAACTGATCCCTAGTACACTGATCCAAAAATTCCTCCGAAGGAATAGCAATGAACTCATCTACTACTGCCATGATGATGAACACCACCTGAAGAATGCACAACAGCAAATCAGTCCCCGGTAAACAAAAGAATGTATAGTATTGACCTAAATTGTGCGCAACACACACCACAAAATAACCTCAAAATTGAGCATCCCCTCTAAACTGCCTAACCCGATCTATCTAACTTAACCCTAGTCTTCAGGAGTTATTTGCGGCGGATATTTACGCACTAAAACCCAGTAGTTTGGTTAAGCGACAAGCAAGCTGGCAACTTCGCCACAACCATGGACGTGCTCCCGAGACAACCACTCCAGCCACTTTCACCCCACACTACATTCCTGTGCACACCCACAGAGGAAAACGCGCTATACCTACAGGGGAATTGGCTCAATATATACATTTGCGCAACCAAAAAGGTCAACACTTACCTTCCTTGTCCTTCCTTTAGTTAGTGAAGCGAAGCAATTGGTTATTTGTTATTTGTACACTGTTCCAAGTGCCTCCTTAATTTGACACATTAAGGCTGTGCTCCAGGAGTGCAGTCGGGGAAAATAAAGAACCCACATTAAAGAGAAATAAATTTATCTTAGTGTCCTGTCATCATTTTAATCAGGCTACATACAGAAGAGCGACGGCGACGACCGCAAGAAGGGCGGTGCTTTTGTTGCGGGGATGCGGGTCATCTCATCGTGGCCTGCTCAGCCAAGAGACCCACATTGGTGAGACAATTTGCTGCTTCAGGCTCCGTTTCACGAACTCTTACAGCAGTTAAGGTAATGCACCGCATCGCCACAGAGCTTGATGCGCTCTTAGACTCAGGGGCTGATGAGAGCTTGTTGGACTGACGGATTAGCAGAGAAACTGGGTATAAAATCTGAACTCTTGGTAAAGCCTATCAAAGCCAAGGCTCTTAATGGAATGGAACTGTTCAGTCACTCACATCTCTGAACCTCTCGAATTACACAATCTGTCATAAAGACATTTATTTTTGTTTATTCAAATCACCTTCTCAGGCACTGGTTTAGGGACAGCCATGGCTGTTTCACCACAACCCCCATGTGAACTGGAGAACGGGAGAAATTATAGGGTGGAGAGAGGACTGTGTTGGACTGCCTTGATGTCTCTACTCCGGGAAAAGATGTTGCAGTGTTTAACGTTGCCTCCGTTAAAAACCCCACAGACCTCCGAGTGGCTGGACATGAACACCGTGCCCTCCTGTTATCACCGTCTTCGGGAGGTTTTTAGCAAAACCAAAGCCATGTCTCTTCCTCCACATCGGCCATATGACTGTGCCATAGAACTGTTTCTGGGCTCCATCATTCCCAAGGGCCGCCTATACTTTACTCTCTGGCCCGGAGAAGGAGGCCATGCGGGAGTTGTCATGACCCAGATTAACGGAGATGACAAAAACGGGAGAGACACAGTTCAAAGCCGATATAAAAGTATATTTATTAAGTAAAGAGGCAAAACCAAAAGTAAAGCAAATATGAGGTGTGTAAGTCAGTAGTTTCAGTCATGTCAGTGTGGGTGCTTGATCATGCACATCTTCCAGCCAGATCATGAGTGTTGTGAACATAAATGGAACGCAAAGAGACCCAAACCAAGATGCGGACGCTGGCCAGGGAAACCAGCGACACCAGCAGGCAGCAACCATGTGCTTTTATACCGCTGGAACCCCTAGCTGCTCTCAATCAGGTTGATATCACCTCAGAGAAACATAATGACATCACTGACATTAACCAATAGGCAGGGCCGTCACAGAGTACATTCAGACTACTAAAAGCGGGGTTGATCCGCCCCTCTTCATCTTCAGCAGGCGCCGGCTTCTTCTTTGTGGGCAAGAAGACCTTGTAAAGACTACTGCCCTCTAAATGACATTACAATAAAGAACCGTACCTCTCATGTCCTCCGTGTTTGATCAGCTCCAGCAGGCCAAAGTTTTTACCAAGCCTGCCGCCACAGCCACAGTAAACCTAGCGTTGCTTGTTCTTAGATCATTTAGCCAATTATTTTTGCCTCCTTACAAGTGATTTGCTGTTTGTACGTTTTCATAGATTAGTCTAGTTTTCATAGCCATTCTGATAGCCTCCTTTTGAGAGAAGTATTCTTGAGAATAGTCTCGTTTTTCATAGCATTTTTTGTTTTCCTCCTAAGGGAGTGATTGAGTTTATAGATAATTTCTTTCTGATTTTGTTAATACGTTTTAGAGAATTTTCATAGCTGCTTATTTTGTCACTCAGTGGGAAGTTTCTAATAAAGACGACTTAACACGTTCATCCTTACATATAGAAATGTACCTCTCCCTGAAATGCATCGACAGAGAGACAGCCAGATGAAGTAGTAAAGAGAAACAATAACTTGACTTGAATCAGAAACATGCTCATGTTTTAATGGTTATTTGTTTAAAATATTGACATGCATTTATTTAATCACAACCCCCTACCCTCTTCCATAATATAACAATATTTTTCTGATCACAACTCACTGCACTACTTACCATGTTGATACTTCCTTTTGTTTTCTATCAACAGTATTTGTCTAGTTTGCTCACCAAGGGTTTATGAAAGCTTATGTCATTGGATCGCATGCGTATTTAAGACTACTATGACTTGTAATACACTTGAAGAGAATGGTCATAAGTAAAAACAAAATGGTGAATATATGCTTACACATACACAATGTAATGATGAACCAAAGTGTAAGACTCAGTGTGCATTAATGTTTTTAAAACAAGTTTTTAAATGTTTACAATGTTCACATTTCTGTGTCTCACAAAACAGTGAGTCATCAGTGTGAAGACACTACACCATTCTGCAGAAGAGCTTCTTAAGGTGATCATAAATTCTCCTCATCTTTAGTCCATAAATGATTGGATTAAAAAGAGGGTGATATATTAAAACTTGTAAAGTCATTATTAATCGTACAATTTCTGGAGAATCGAGTTCCAGTCGAGGAAGAAGTACATCATATGCAGTTAAACAGGAAAAGTTGATTAGAACCAGCAGATGGGGTAAACAGGTCTGTGCAGCTCTTCCCCTAACTCCTCTACATCGATATGATACAACAAGTATCCTGCCATATGTGAAAAGTATAAAGAGCACAGGGAGAACTACAGTAGTAACAAGAACAATCAAGCCATATATATTCTGTATTCTTGATCTCATACAGTGAAGTGTTTGAACTGTGCTGTTGCAAAGTATTCCTTTCAAATGAAATGTACAGATTTCTTTTTTAGCACTTAGTAACATTGCTCCTGAAGTCTGACAAGCAGGCAGAATCCAAGCTGAAATTAGGAAAATGTTAACTTTTTTTTCTTGCATGATGGTTGGATATTGCAGAGGGTTACATATAGACACATATCTGTCATAGGCCATAACCGACAAGAGAAAGAAATCTGAACTTCCTAACCAGTAATATAAAAACCACTGGAAGAGACATGCTGGATAAGATATGATCTGTTTTTCTGATAAAAAGTCAATCAAAAGCTTTGGGTAGATAGCAGTGCTTAAGAGAACAGAGTTGATTAACAAAGCTGCAATGAAAATGTACATTGGCTCATGCAGGTTTTTGTGAATCATTATGATGCACACAATAGTTAAATTACTGCTAATTATTAAAATATACACCGTAAACATGACTACAAAATAAAGATATCTATATTTGTGCACTTCCACATGCCCACCAAAAGTTATATAAGTCACATTAGATCTATAATCCATTGATAATGTATGCAGTGAGGTAATAACAAATATCAATCTGACATAAACAGCACTAGATTGTCTCTCAGTCTTCAGTATCTGACCTTGATATGCTCTGGTGTGATCCGGCAAACACACGGACTGGAAAGTGATCTGTGAGAGTCGGTGGGAGGTTTTTTTATCAGACTACTTCATCCTCCATGGATCTCATTGAACTCTCCAAAGGATGAACTCTGTAAACAACTTGATTCCAGAGGGCATACGCATCGTGTTTCTATGACAAATAATGAAACATCATGGTTGAACTCTTTG